TTTTCATAGAAATATAGAATCATAGAATAGTTAGGGTTGGAAAGGACCTTAAGATCATCTAGTTCCAACCCCCCTGCCATGGACAGGGACACCTCACACTAAACCATGTCACCCAAGGCCACGTCCAACCTGGTCTTGAACACTGCCAGGGATGGAGCATTCACAACCTCCCTGGGCAACCTATTCCAGTGCCTCACCACCCTCACAGGAAAGAATTTCCTCCTTACATCCAATCTAAACTTCCCCTGGTTAAGTTTTAACCCGTTACCCCTTGTTCTGTCACTACAGTCTCTAATGAAGAGTCCCTCTCCAGCATCCCTATAGGCCCCTTCAGATACTGGAAGGCTGCTGTAAGGTCTCCAAGCAGCCTTCTCTTCTCCAGGCTGAACAGCCCCAACTTCCTCAGTCTGCCGTCATACGGGAGGGGCTCCAGTCCCCTGATCATCCTCGTGGCCCTTCTCTGGACTTGTTCCAACAGTTCCATGTCATTTTTCTGTTGAGGACACCAGAACTGCACACAATACTCCAGGTGAGGTCTCACAAGAGCAGAGTAGAGGGGCAGGATCACCTCCTTCCACCTGCTGGTCACCCTCCTTTTGATGCAGCCCAGGATACGGTTGGCTTTCTGGGCTGCAAGCGCACACTGCCGGCTCATGCTCATTTTCTCATCGATCAGCACCCCCAAGTCCTTCTCCGCAGGGCTGCTCTGAATCTCTTCTCTGCCCAACCTGTAGCTGTGCCTGGGATTGCTCTGACCCAGGTGTAGGACCTTGCACTTGGCATGGTTAAACTTCATGAGGTTGGCATCAGCCCACCTCACAAGTGTGTCAAGGTCCCTCTGGATGGCATTCCTTCCCTCCAGGGTATCAACCAAACCACACAGCTTGGTGTCATTGGCAAACTTGCTGAGGGCACACTCAATCCCACTGTCCATGTCAGTGACAAAGATGTTGAACAAGACCGGTCCCAACACTGATCCCTGAGGGACACCACTCGTTACTGGTCTCCAGCTGGACATTGAGCCATTGACCACAACTCTTTGTATGCAGCCATCCAGCCAGTTCTTTATCCCCTGAGTGGTCCATCCATCAAATTGATGTAGCTCCAATTTAGAGACAAGGATGTCATGGAGGACGGTGTCAAATGCATTACACAAGTCCAGGTAGATGACATCAACTGCACTACCCCTGTCTGTCAGTTCTGTAGCCCCATCATAGAAGGCCACCAAATTGGTCAGGCAGGATTTCCCCGTAGTGAAGCCATACTGGCTGTCACCAAGCACCTTGTTGTTTTTCATGTGCCTTAGCATGCCTTCCAGGAGAATCTGCTCCAAGATTTTGCCAGGCACAGAGGTGAGACTGACTGAACAGCCCCCCAGCTTCCTCAGTCTGCCTTCATACGAAGGCTCCAAGATTTTGCCAGGCACAGAGGTGAGACTGACTGAACAGCCCCAACTTCCTCAGTCTGCCTTCATACGGGAGGGGCTCCAGTCCCCTGATCATCCTCGTGGCCCTTCTCTGGACTTGTTCTGGTCTGCAATTGCCCAGGTCATCCATTTTCCCCTTCTTGAAAATGGGGGTTCTATTTCCCTTTTTCCAGTCATGGGGAACTTCACCTGACTGCCATGATCTCTCAAATACGATGGCCAGCGGCTTTGCAACTTTATTCACCAGCTCCTTCAGGACCCGAGGATGGATCTCATCAGGACCCATGGGCTTGTGCACATTCAGATTTTTAAGATGGTCTCTAACCAGTTCCTCTCCTACAGTGGGCGCAAGGTCTTCATTCTCACAGTCCCTGTACCTGTCTTCCAAGACTTGGGTGGTTTGGTCAGAGCCTTTGCCAGTGAAGACCGAGGCAAAGAAGTCATTCAGAACCTCAGCCTTCTCCAAATCCTGTGTAGCCAGTTCTCCTGAGAGCTTCCTGAGGGGGCCTATGTTCTCCCTAGTCTGTTTTTTAGAACCCCTTCCTGTTATCCTTAATACCTCTAGCCAAGTTTAATTCTAACTGGGCCTTAACTTTCCTAACCTGGTCCCTAGCTCCCCAGACAGCATCCCTGTACTCTTCCCAGGCTACCTGTCCTTGCTTCCACTTATTATAAGCCTCTTTTTTCATTTGAATTTTTCTCAGCAGCTCCTTATCCATCCAAGGAGGCCTCCTGGCCCTCCTGCTGCACTTCCTTCTAGTTGGGATGCAACACTCCTGAGCCTGTAGCAGGTGATCCTTGAATATCAACCAACAGTCTTGGGCCCCCCTGCTCTCTAGGGCTGTATCCCATGGAACCTTACTAAGCAGGTTCCTGAAGAGGCCAAATTCTGCTCTTTTGAAGTCCAGAGTGCTGCACGCTCTTCTCACTGTCCTGAGAATCTCAAATTCTAGCATTTCATGATCGCTGCATCCAAGGCTGCCCTCGAGCGTCACATTTCCAAGGAGCCCTTCCCTGTTGGTGAGCACGAGGTCAAGCCCAGCACCTCTCCCTGTCAGCTCCTCTGTTACTTGCAGAAGGAAGTTGTCTTCCACACAATCGAGGAATCTCCTGGATTGCTTATGCTGGGCCATACCATCCTTCCAACAGGTGTCAGGGTGGTTGAAGTTTTCCTTTCTTCCTTGGCTCCATTCTACCCTTTTCCCTCCAATGCACTACAAGAGACCATAACTTTTTTCTAGACTGTTCTTCTTGGTGTCTTTTGTCCCCCCTTTCTCCTACAGTCATCCTCCCCCAGTATTTACATTGGGAAAACACAAAGCAAAAATTCCAGAACAGGTAAATGGACACAATTCTTTCTAATTGCCTAGACATTCTAATAAAGAGCTCTCTCACAAGATGGGGTTTTGTTTTCTGGGTTTGGTGGGAGATTTTTTGCTTTGGTTGAAACTGTACTGCAGCTTTTAAAATGCTCAAGACAGCTGGATAACACAGAATGAGTCAACTCTATAGGTCTGCCTTGGTCTCACACAATTTGCAATGCAGGAATGTCTTTTCAAGCAAGAAAAAGTGTAAGCAACAATATTAAAGAAAAATAAATAAATAAACCCGTTAATCCAAAAGTTACTTGCTTAAGGAGATTTTACAGTTTGTTCTAGGAAGAAAGGATTTGTCAGTTCCTACTAGGTACACATTTTACTTAAGGTCAAAGCAGCAGCATAAGAAAGGCAACACCCAATGATCCAAAAGAAAGCTTTTTCATTTTTGTTTGAGTCTGTATTTTAATTCTGCATAATGCAAAAATTAAACCATGGGCTACACACTTTGAGGTTTTCTTTTGATTATTTTCAATACAAAACTTAAAAAGCAAGCAAACAAAAAACCCCAACACTTGTCTTTATCACAGTATGTATAAACACACAGAACTGAAATAAAAACAAAGCTTTCAGTAAGAAAAGTTTGCTCTGTTCTTCCTAGTGTCTTCAGAAGGGAAAAGTTATTATTTTAAAATTCCAATCTTACAGCGCAATCACCTTGAAATCATTTGAAAATAAATCAAAAAAGTAATTTCAAATCAACAGGACAGCACCTAATTTGCCCTCCTGGTGAAGACTTGTCAAACATTCATCAGACATACTACAATCAAACTCTGAATTTCTAAACTCCAAGTTCATTGGCCATTCTCAAATTATCTATCCACTGATACCAACTAAATAGCATCCTCTGAAAACAGTTGCCAGCCTTCAGATGCAGCAGGCCAAAAACAGTCTTAATAACCTGAACATTCTCTAAACACTATTTTTGTCAAAGGCTAAAACTCAAAAGACCAAAGGAAATATAAACACCATGGTAGTACTTCACAAAATACTGGCTGAAAAGAAGGCAGTGCACTAAAATAACTATTTTCAGTACCTTATTTAGGAAAATTGTAATGCTTTTATTGCCCTAGAATGTTTGCATTTAAGTGTGAAACTCTCCAGAAGACTGAAACATTAACTTTCAGGGTGCTACTTTTGTTCCTCTTTGATGCACCTGTCTTTATTTATTTTGAATTTACAGTGATTATCCTTACAAAAGGCTTGTATTTCTCTCCTTTACTTCACATGGAGTGCCTGGGAACAGGAAACTGCAATGCTAAAGGTAGAGGCCATGCAAAGTTGGAGTACAAAGGACTATACAGACAAGTACTCATAAACGTATTATAAAGCCCTTTTCTTATTATTATTATTGCATTTCTTGGTTATGTTTTACTGAAAAATGCAACAACATGCATCCCTATGAAACATTTTCCTTTTGTTAAATCAGTATTTTTCTGAAAGAAAGTGATTTCACTGAAATTAAAATTGCATATACTCAGCTTACTCATTTGTATAGCAACTGGTGTAAATAAGATTTGATTTCAACTGGGGTATCTTGATGCCAATAAAACACATGCAGTTCTGGGAGAAGGAAATTAGGGGATTTTGGTGGGCTTGTTTGCTTATTCTACTTGTTTGCTCTTGGGCAAGAAGTTAAAAAATGAGAAACAGTCATTTTATTAAGACAGTAATACATCTGAGTCATAGCTCCGACTAGGGGGAGAAAAAATACATGCCAAAGGCATGTGCCCAGGTCTTATGCATCTGTTAAACTAGAACAATAAGAGCTCTATCTTTGCCTCAGGGAGCCTAGGTTATATCAGCTGCTGCACTTGCATGCCCCACCAGACTAAGCTGAGTTTGCAAGATACAAGAGGATAAGAGCATGAATGAATTCTTTGCAAAAGGCAGCCAGATATCCAGTGCTCAACAGTAAACAGAATGAGGAGGGAGCTGCTGGAAGCAAGGAAAGCAACTGAAAAAAAAAATACATCCCTAGCATCAAGTAATAGCAATGGATAATAACACATTGTTTAAACAAAATGTAAAACCCCCATACTAAACTGCTTTAAATGTTCTTTCAGCATTAGACATCTGTGCTTATTTTGGGAAGTTGACTAAACTACTAAGAATTATTGTGTACTTGAAAACTCATTTAGCACCTGTTTAACAGTGATTGAGGCCTTATGAATAGCTTATGGAGAAAGACAACTCACCTTGTATAAAGCAGGAATGATCTGGTGCATTTTCAGTCGATTAAATACAAAGATATCGTACACCGCTGAAATGGCCAGAACAGTCACTCCTTGCTCCTTCCACAGCATGCTGCATCCTGCACACAGCCCCGTTCCCAAGATCCAGCCCCATGTACTTGGTGAGGAACCTCTGGTTGAGCAGTGCTTCACATAACACATCAGAGAAAGCAGAAAGAAGAGACAGGCTCCAATGTCTGCCCTCCCTACGATCCCTGCTACAGCTTCTGTGTGGATCGGATGAGACGCAAACAGCAGGCCTGCTATCAAGGTCCAGTACCCATCCCCAAACAGGATCCTAGAGAAGTTTGTGAAAAGGCCTGTGACTGCAGCATGTAACAAGACATTCACAAGGTGGTAGCCCCATGGGTCCATCCCTCCAACAGCATGGTTAATACGGAAGGAGAGTGTGCAGAGAGGTCTGTAGGACTTGTGGCTCCCACTGTGAGTGAGCAGTGTCCCCCAGAAGTCATTGTAGAAGATATGGGTCCACGGCGTCTCTGGCAGAAGGTCCTGGTTTGTCTTGATAGCTCGACTACAAAAGACAAATAAAAACTTAATTTCAACAGAAGGAAAAGGGTACAAATGAAAGGCTGTGAAAATGCAATCACACTGCTACCAGAAGAAAGAATGGTATTGCTTTGGTGCTGCTTTAATTTAAGTTTTAAATTTTTACAGGAGGTGTTAAAAAACTACGTATCTATTGACTTCCCACTAAAGCAAAATTTCCATATAAATTGGCTTTTAAAACACTAAAAACAGATGTTACGCTGCTTCCATTCTATTAAAACACCCTTCAGTGACACTCTTCTGAGTCTAAACCAGGAGTAACCGGTTAAGATTTGATGAGTTATAATTAAAACATAAAAGAAGTATGAAAACCTGACAAACACTATTGTTGAAACAACAGATTCTCCACTAATTCAGTACTAAAACCCCCAACTGGAGATTTATACTGAAATTTTAATTTAGATGTTGGAATGGATCTCACTGACATGGATGAACAATAAATACGGCAGTTGGTAGGAGCATGCAAATCTCTGGTGCTGAACAAGGTACTCCCACAGCTGTCTGTACATATTTTAACTGACAATATTTTCTGCTAACACCTTGCTGGAGGCAGACAGCAGAATATTTTACAGATGAAAATAAACCTTCCTTTACATTTCTTGTATTTACAAATGAGGAAAAAGAAAACATTTTTAGGTTGTAGTAGCTTATGAATTCAAGTCTGTGTCAGCTTGACTGGGAAAAAAAGTGCTGCAGCTTTCAGCATTTATGTTTCCAACCACCCTGGCAAGGACTGGTGCCAGCCATTAGCAGTCTCCATGTCAGTACTGTAAAAATCTGTCTCGTATAGTGTTTGTACAAATCCAATCATTTGCATTTAAAATTTATGCTGTGGGAGAAGGTGTGAGACCTGCTTACTGCAAAAAGATGACTGGAATTTAATTAGTTACTTGCCTTCATAAGCAAAGTTATATTTAAGCAATTCTTTAAAGATGCACTGTTATTACCACTGAGCTTAACTCATTTAGCATTTATTTTATGAGATAATTAAGAATCCGGCCAGCTCAAGTCCCCTCAGTTAAAAATACTAAACGAGTGATGATTTAAATCAAATTCTTTACTCATTCCCTCTTTCTGTGTTTCCAATAAATATCTTCCCATAAGTAACAATTTTTCAATTCACATGAGGGAGAAAAAAGAAAAAGAATTGTGTGAAACACGACTCAGGCCTGCATCTGAAATGTACTACTCTCATTCATACTCCAAGATTCCCCTCACATTCTCCATTCCTTTGGAATGTGTATCCAAATCCCTTTTTCTTTTATTTTATAGTTTTAGTTTCAGGAATGTTGTCTTGTTCTATAAAGAAGAATGCTCAAACACTGATATACTATGCCACAGAACCTCCACACAAATATTCTAAATACCATGCAGCTCAGCATTTCCATTGTCCGGACCACATTGCTGTAATGCTTTCCGACACACTTCCTCTCGGCATGTCCTTTTGTCTCTGAGCGTATGGAGGTTATGGAGACGTCAGATTAAATCCTTTAAAGAGATTATGATGCTTTCTACAATACTTGAAAATCTTCATTTTGACTTCTGCTCATGCCATGGACTGGGTTGCTTGCATTTGTTTTCCCAACCCCACACTCATTTTTCTCATTTGAGTCCTGTCACAAAAGAACATTGGAAGAAAACAAGAACTCTGTTTTCACAATATTTATCTCATCCTTCTGTGTAGTCCTTTCCTAAAATCTAATTCCTCTGTTTGTGATTTCAGTTTGTAGAATCACTACCAGAACCACTATCAGAAAACTAGGAATGCAAGAATAAAGCAGGTGTTGGGCTAGAAAGAGTCCTTTCTCTGAGAGAAACATATTATATTAGACTACAGATTCCCAAACACTAAGAATGGCAATCAGATGTCAGGATTTAGAGTTGACACCCTGAACTGCAAAAGTGTTTGTTTCTTGGGGAAATACTAAGAAAAATAAGTGTCAGTAATATTACCAGCACAACTGCCCCAGTGGCATTCAGCTACAAAAAGCCTAGATAGTGCACCGGTTCATTCCCAGGAAATTGTAGCTCTTATTATATCTTTTACAAATGTGGCCATTTCCAATACGTGAAGCCATGCAACCACTTAAAAAAAATAAAACAAACAAAACAACAACAACAAAAAAACCCTGAATAGAATACTTCCACACTATGCTGCTGCACTTGCTGAGAGACCAGCCCTCTCCCTCTAAGCCAATGATTTTCATGCAGCACATACTCATATTGGACTCATATTCCCCACCAAAAGTAAACTGTTTTTCTCCAAATCATCAAGAAACCTACTGTACATTCTGAAGGCATTAATTCAGTCAAATTTTATATACAGACTTAGCAAAAAATCTGATGCAACCCTAATCAGTTCCTGTTCAGTCCTGGTTTTATTAAAAATATATAAAATTAAAAAAAATGAATCAAAAGGAAGCCTTTTGATCACCCTGTATTTGAGTATGGATTTCAGCTGGCAATTCTGAATTACTCCTAGTTTCTTGTATGTGTAAAAGCAACCGATTCTGCTACCTGCCAGTCAGCATGACAAATACAGCTGGCAGTTCCAACTTACTCAGCGATTCAGTCAGGTCAAATGTTGTATTCTCTATGAGTCAAAATTTTAAATAAAGTTAAAAGCCCTTTCCATATGGTTATTTTATGCTAAATGTTTAAAAAAAAAAACAAACAAACAAAAAAATCAAAAGTCTAGCGAATGGTTTGGAATATTAGAAAAGCCTAATACAAAAGCAAAGCTAGACATTCTACAGCAAAGAAGTCTCACATAATAGTCAACAACTACTCTGTTTCACATTATAAAATGTAAGAAAAAACACAACTTGGCCAACACCAGACTTGACTGCTCAGGAGGATGCAAGATTATGAGCACCTGAGATATTAGAGCCAGGCAGCTCTTTGTCTTTTTGCCCACAAAAGTAAAAGTCAACAAGGTCTCAGTAACACTAGGACAACACCCTAGACACCATTATTGCAGGACCAAGAGTCCATGCAAAACCACCTGGGGCCATGTCCATCTGCATCCCCAGCCCAGCTGTCTAACAGCACTGGCAAGATAAACATGAGGTGAAACATTCATCTCTCTGAAGGGGAGAGAAATACAAGCTCTGTAGCTAATAAAATAAAAGAATAAAAATAAATAGTACTAAATTGTTCATATCAAGGCCCTGAGGGCACTAGAAAGCCCTGCCAGCCCTGACCCTCCTCTCTGGGGCTCCCCCAACTTGCCCACAGCCCAGAACCCTATTTCTGCCCCACAAGGCCATCAGCCCCTGCCTCAGGGACACTCTCCAGCTCCCCACAGCCCTGCCCTGCCATGGGTGTCCCTAAGCCAGGCCCACATCTTGGCCTGTCCCCAGGGAGGTGCCCCAACACACACACACCCAGCTGTCCTGCTCCTTGCTGGGGCAAGGCCCTGTTTTTCTTTAATTACTAAATTAACAAGCTGTTAACTCTGCTGCAGTATTGATGCTTAGCTGCCAATTTCAACAGCAGTTTTAAAAGCAGCCCCTCTTCCCGGCCTGGCAGGTAGTGCTGATGTGTCCTTTGTAAAGCCTCCTGTGCTGGCAGGAACCTGGGCTCTCCACAGATAGAAAATAATATTAATTGCTGGCTCCGGGAAAGACTCTGGGATGAAAGAAACTACAAAATGCCTTATTAGCCTTGTCTTCTCCTTCAGTCACAGTTTACCTTCAGGTTACATCCTGCAGATTAGTCCAATCTTGCTAATGGGCATAACAAGAGAAACTCTCCAACTGCACTCATCACTCTTAAACAGAGCTGTAAACTCTGTTCTTGCTAAAAGGCAGCGGGTCACCAGGGAAAGTCATTTTTCAAAGCTCCAACTCAACTGGCATTTTTACTTTCAACCAGCCTCAGATAAGGGTTGCAGACTCAGTCAGGGAACTTGCTTGAATTTTTAATGCCTGCCCACTTCACTCATCCCAGGAGAGTGGGATATCTTCTTCAGTGTACAACAAATGGATGGGTTTGAGGAGGGAAGGAAAGAATCAGGGTCAGCAATCAATTCTTCAGAAATGGAAATCTGAGGATAGGTAAAAGCTGTAAAGGCAAAATCATAATTTGTAACCCCGTCAAAAGAATCATTCTGCCTCCTGCCACAAACTACTTACTTGCCTAGATGGATACACACCTTTAGCACAATTTAGTGAGATTTTTTTCATCAAACTCAAAAATGCCAGAGATCCAGCAGTTCACACATGCCCATACACATGCATACACACAAAAATCCCAGATGTTTTTAAAATTAACAGCTATATATGTCCTGAACTGCTGCGCTAGTGCTAAACTGATCCAGGTGTTAACACTAGGGCAAAAAAACAGATGCAACATTCTAAAGTGATTTAACGCGTTAAGCCTTATGTCCAGCTTCAATATTGCTAATGGTCCCCATATGCTGAAAATGAACATCAGCATTTGAAGTAGAGAACATATTTTGAAGAAAAAGGAGAACTCCCAAACGTGCACACAGGAAGCCATTGACGAGCCCTCTCCCACATAAAACAGATAGGCAGTGATGGACTTGCAAGTCTGCTTGGAGGTTCTTCATTGTTTTTCCCCAAGATCACATCTGAATATTATTCATTTACTCCTTTTTGATAAATAGCAAAGTGAAAACACGCTATTTTTACAGCGGATCTTAAGCATCCTAAGCATGCTTTCAAGATTTTATGTTGCTTGTATAGACAACAAAGCCTCAAAACACAGCTAGAACCTACTTTTTTAAGTATAAATAGTTTCACATACCCAAAATATACAGCTGAGCCAACCCTCCAAACTACTTACAGGCTGTCAGGCAGGTGCGTGGTCAGAAAGCAGGCAACTAAAGCTTGTCATAGTTTGGACAATTCTCATATTTGCCTACAGAATACAATATACATGTAGTCTGTATTGACAGCCTAAAGAAAAATCAGAAAATACTATCTAGTACATAGAGATATC